TAGCCATATGCGCCACCAGGCTTTCAGTGCAGCCCGCCGAGTTGAGTAGTATACCTGCTGGCTGGCGTTTGTTTTTACAGTAACTTCTTCAATGCGCACGCTGCCTTTTACCGAGGGTGTTTATGCGATCACCAGGTTGTGTGTCTAGTCTATTCCACAGCTGTTGCAGCTGAGACTTGAACTTGAGGAGTATGGGCTCCTGTTGAGCAAGGCCAGGCGACATCTGTGACGCTGTGCAAGGAAATCTAAGTGAACAGCTGCAGTGTGGAGTTGCGCCGGCCCCTGCGGTGGCATGCAGCAAGTTGAGCTGCTGCTGCAGAGAGATCCGCTAGTAGATTGCCGATTTCGTTCATGTAGAGACGTTCCAATTCAACTGTGATCATACGATATCTACGTTGCACCTCGCCTGAATGTTCTGAACTATGACTGCATTGCTTGTTGGTTAGTTAGTATGTATACACAGGCTGACCCATGACGTTGATAATCAATGCGCCATTTTCCGCAAGCAACTCGAAGTCTATGGATCTTCGACTTCAGTGCGGAACAGTTTCGCTCGGTATTGGCCCCCAGGACAAGAAGGTCTTCTTCGTAGATAGCAAGACGATGATCAGTGCTCTCGACGTATTTATTAAGACGGGCACCGTAGTGCGAACTACATTTTTCTTCGAAGGACTTCATTAAACACACGTGCTCGTAAGTAGAATTTCTGATCTCGGCCATCCACTGCTGGTCTGCATCCTCGTTCATTCTCAGCGCTAACTCTAGCTGTGATTGCAATTGTCCCAGTACGACATCATAATGCCTAGTTGTAAATATCATACCCATGGGACGCAAGACACGGCATTATTAAAGAATCGACGCCGATGCTTGCGATCGGACGCGCCGTTCCAGTACACCCGCCCGATGAACCTCTTCGTCCTCCCACATCTGTCTCAACTCTGCTATAAGTCGGGTAAATTTGACACCCGCAGCGGCCTAAGACGTCTAGAAATTCCTACAATTCTATAAATGGCATTTGAGTAACACCTCTGCACTAAAGTCTGCATCGCTCCGACTAATCCGACTATCAGTATAAGCGGCGTCCTCGAGCAGCTCAATAGCTCGAATACGTCTCGCCTCCTGCTCATTGGCAACTTTTTCGCTCAGCGAAGCAACCAAAGAGTTATATTTCAAGTTGAGTACATCATCAAACATTGCAGACTAGCGCGTCTCGGATTGTTCCAACGATCAGGTGCTATTGTTTCGACTCATCATTGGCAAACTCTCCATCCGCGAAAATCCATCCGACGAGATCATCTAGCTCAGCTCGAATTTTGCAGTGCGGTCTAGCCCGTGTGTCTCTTGCAGCTTCCCTTAGATTACCCACAGCGAGCGATGTCGGGTATAAATCCGAACTTGGTGAATTCTTGGTGTGTGCATGTGTGGCTCCCCACGATAAGATCCCGCATCGAAGAGCTGGATATCAAATCGAGAAAATCGATGGCAAAGAGGGCTTGGGCAGTGGTGATGGGCGGTGATGGGCACCTTTGGCGGGCTCTATCTCGGCGCCATGACCACCGATTTGGAAAATTTTTGTTGCATCTGAAAGGCCTCGACGCCGTCTTGGCCGCTGAACCACCCACTCGAAATCGAGGGGTGCAACGTAAACTCGGCATCTTATCGTGGGGAGCCGCATGTAGGTAGTTGCCAAGTAAAACATAAAAGTTGAAGTTAGGGGTTCGTAAACCGCTCGAAAGTGGGGTCCTTTCGCCGAGGCTGGCGTTGTGAGTGCGGTAGCGTCGTACATCTTGAGACACTCCGTCGTGAGGATCGTCTTTCGCGAGAAGTGGACTTTCAACCCGCACTAGACCCGCGCGCGCAGAGTGACACAGCCCGGTGTGTTTGGCAGTGTGACTTAGAGTGCCGCTGGGCAGCGGACCGGGGACCTCAAGGAGGCTGCCCCATCGCGTGGTGCAGCTGGCGATAGGTATCTTTGGCCACGTTGAGGCCGGACTTGCCTCTGGGGACTATCCGTTGGGAGGCCGTTGACGGGGCTGGAGAGGCCGTTGGGGAGAAGTAGTCTTGTGGCTCCAGGCCTTGGCGGTGGCAGCTGCGTGGGCCACTGCACCGGCGTCGCCGCCGCGATGGTGCAGGTGGGGGCGTGGCTGTCGACCCACGCCTGGAGGTCGTTCTTGGCCTCGTCGTGCCACTTCGGTCGTTCTTCGCGGGGTCGCGTTGGCTTGTCCACGGTCGCCTGGGGCCGGGCCTTCGTGTCGAGGTCCGGCCTCTGGTGTTCCTGGGCGTAGCGGCTGTCGTGGGCCGTGTACGAGAGCACGTATTTCTTGCGCGCGATGGCCTGGATCTTGATGATGGGCACGATGGTGCCCAGGCTGGACATGACGTTGGCGCCGAGGAAGGCCGTGGTCTGCATGACGTGGGCGTGCTGCGCGTGCATCATGGCCGCGTCGTAGTCGCTGCGCGTGTCCGGGATGTCGAAGTTCGCGATCTCGTCCTCGCGGACGTTGTCGCAGGCGCCGGTGTGGCCGGGGTCGTTGAAGGCCACGAGGTCGTGTTCCGAGCCCAGGTCCGATGCCGTGGTCACGGACGCGTCGACGAGGTCGGGCATCGAGTCGTTGTCGTTGTGGTAGAGCTTGACCTCGTTCTCGTCCTCGCGGACGTTGTCGCAGGCGCCGATGTGGCCGAGGTCGTTGAAGGCCACGAGGTCGTGCTCCGAGCCCAGGTCCGACGCCGTGGTCACGGACGCGTCGACGAGGTCGGGCATCGAGTCGTTGTCGTTGTGGTAGAGCTTGACCTCGTTCTCGCGCATGTGCTTGCCGCGCGTGATGGCCTGGATCTTGATGATGCCCTTGAGCATGCCGACGTCCGCGTCGCCGGACGCGTAGGCGCCCAGGTCGAGGGGCGCCGTGCTGTAGATGTCGCGCGTGTTCGGGGTCTCGTTCTCGCGGACCTCGTCCTTGACCGGCTGCGTCGGGTAGTTGTAGCCGGCCGGGTAGATGTAGGCGTCGCCCGTCGGCTTGTCGAAGACGACGGGGCAGTACTTGGGGTCGTAGTCGGCCTTGCGGCTCATGCTGCCGATGGCCTCGTCGACCGCGTTCTTGGTTTGTAGGAGCTCGTAGGAGTTGAGCATGCAGTTCATGGAGCCGCCGAAGTCGATCGGCGGGGCCTGCTCCTCCTTGGCCCGGCCCGTGAGGGCGGCCTGCACGGCCGCGGCGACGAGCTGCTTGTCGCGGTTGTTGTCGTTGGCGCGGTCGCGGTAGTTGCCGCTGCGGTTGCGGTTGCGGGACTTGTCGGGCTTCGCGTTGGGGTCCTTCTGGAGGACCCGGCACTCCGCGGTCGTGTGGGCGCACTCGCCGTGGAAGTCGCAGTGCTTGGTGACGAAGGGGACGCCGCCGCCCGTCGCCGGCGCGGCGATCTGCTGTT